GGAAATCCACAGGACTTCCCCAATGCACAGGCAGGATCAGCCACCAGCCATTTGTGTGACATATTGTAGAGATGATGCAGGGTGCGGAGAACACGTGAGTTTTTAAATACCACTTTAGCAATCTTTCTCATTAATCCACCATATTACATATGAACAAACAAGATAAAAGATTTTAAAACTGAAGCTAAACAGCATAGCCTTGTCTGAAATGGAGGGTTGGCAACATTTTCTGGCCCGTCATGGCTGTCTTTCTCCCTGTGAAACGGGAGGCTGCAGGGTTGTGGAAAGGTCCAGCAGGAACCATTGAGAAAGCTTCACACATCCTGCCCTTTAATCCAATCAGGATTTTTTCTCTCTATAGGAAGTGCAAAGAATTACTTCTGTCATAATTTTGTTTTATACAAGTTAATTGCTGTTAAATTCATGCCTAAACATGTTTGCTTTTGTGAGGCGGAGCTGGGCACTGTGTTTTCTGCCTTGCTTCGAAGTTGTTGATCCTTTTTCTGCATATTTAGCTTCTGATCTTGTTTCAGGAACCTGGTAAACTTCAGGAATCTCTACAGGTTTTTGTGTTCAGTGCACAGCAGCACCTTAATGTGGCAGAGCATTACAGGGACAGAATGCATTCTGAGCCTGTTCCTGTAAAGCCTCTTGGCACACCTAATGATAAGGATGTGAGCAAACCCTGCAGGCCTCTGGGGCGACAGGACTGTCTGAAGCAAAACTCCTTTTAGAGATAAAAACACCAAGGAGAGCAGTCTGAAAAACGCAAGTATTTACATGCAAGTATTTACACACCTGCTGCTTGCTCGCGTGATTGACAACCGAAGTTCAGCACCCGGACTCTCCTGGCCTTCCCTTACTCTTCCAGCCATGCTGTTGGATGCCATTAGTTACTTACAGAAATCAATTCTTTTTTCATCACGTCATGTCCTCTGTTCCACTTGGTTTGTGTTGATGGTTGCAGCCTGCGCTGGCTCGCAGCAGTGGTAGGGAGACTGCAGGCTGCCTCCTGGAGGCTGCCACAAATCACCCATCAGCTCAGTGAGGCCCCGTGCCACCACGTGCAGCCAAATGATGCTCTCAACAGAAAAAATGATCGTTGCAGACCTCACAGAGCAGAGCTGAGGGCTTTGGGTTCTGCGTTGCAAAAATACGAGCAAGTCCTACAATATCTGTACTGTCAGTTTAGTCAATAAATGTAGATAAATTTGTATCGCTGTGTGCATGTAAATGCAATTTCATGTTGATGTTACTGCAGATTAGAAAGCTGTAGGAAGCTAACTGATCACTGATGAAATAGTCACTTGGAGCAGCTACACGTTGGTTTGAATACTTAGGAACACACAGAACAAGTAACTCCCAGCAGGTCAGCACTCATCTGCACTCAGATGGTTCTCTCCTGGGTAAAGAGGATCTGTCTTTCCTCACAGGAAGGGTAAGGCAAAGGAATGTGATGGGATTTAGCGTAGCACCTCCTGGCAGTGTTGTTACCTCTTTTGCTTTGTGTTATTTGCACATTTTTCTAGTGTACCACTCTTCTTTTTCATCAAAATACACAGACATGTTAAAGCCTTTTAAGTAACACACACACACGCAATTTAAGTAGAAATCTCAAAGTACGTCATCTCTTCCAACCTGTTAAGATACGTCAACATTAATTCATTCGGATGTGTTTTTGTTCTGTGCTTGGCAGGCACACCAGTTTGTTGGGTGGGATATGCTGAATTGATCAGAATAGTGATTTGTAACACTAATGAATTTTCAGTCTTCCTTAAATAAGCAAATAGTCATTTGAGGAGCGTAGACCTCACGCATATTCTAGAGACGCAGCACAGCCTGGGGATGAGCCTGACTGCTGGATCTGACTTATTCTCTGGCAGCAGCTGCTTGCAGCCCAACTGCTCCAAACTTCCTTTCTCAGAGGTTCACAACTTGGCTTGAGTTGGGCTGATTTTCTCAGATGGGATGCTGCTGAATTTCAGATCCCTGCTTGAAAACAAGATGGTGCTAGAGTTCTTTGACAAGATGGTCACTATTTTCCTTATTGAGGATATAGTGAGGATAGAACTGAAATCTTTCCTGGTCTCCTTTTCAGAAGCAACAGAGTCATTTTGGTTGAAGTTATTAAAGCAGAAATTCAGAGTGGAAAACATCAGTCTGTCACTTAGAAGTTGACACTGTTATAAGCAAGTGAAAATATCCTCTAATAAGAATTGTTGGGGAACTTGAGGAATGTTACCACCCCATCTCTGACAATAAAAAAGTTTGTAATAGAAATGTTTGCCCTTTTCAGAGTGAGAAAGTAGGAGAAAAATAAAAAGGTGACTTCAAGCATTAAGGAATAAAAATATTTTCAAGTGAATAGTTTGATGTCTGACTGGCAGGTTTATTTTAGAAAGCTATTTTTATATAACACCATTGGGAAAAATAAGCCAGATGATGAGCTATCACTTTATTTTTTAATAAAAAAGTAGCTTATTATCCATGCAAGCATTGTCACTTATAACTGCAAAATTGTCTGAGGAAACTTTTAAGATCCCAAAAATCTTTGCAAAGAGGAAAGGTGCAAATGACACAGCTATCTTATTCATACTACTGCTCAATTAGGAATTTTTCTATTGAATTAAATAGTCCTCCAAATGTGACTCGGTTTCTGCCTTTAAGTTTAAGTGGCTAGATACATGGCAATATGGGAAAATGTTGGTTTACCCAGTCAGGAATTGAAACATATTTTACACTGAAAACAAGTCTCTGAGGTCTGTAGACACTGCTGTAGTGAGGTTCCCTAATGCTAGGATAGTGATTAGTTGGTTAAGTGAAGAAGAAGGAACATGACAAGTATCTCTATTGTAAATGCAGTTGATAGCTAGTGAATAATTACTACCATTGTAGAAAGCTGAAGTGTTCTTATTAAATGGAGTTTACATGTAGCTCTTCTAAAATAGTCTAAGACTGTAATTTCTTTTGCACTTTTGGCATCCCTGCCCTCCTGAGTCTTCAGCATTATAGCTGATCAATCTGTGCAATGGATAATTCCATTCAAACTAGTTATGACAAGTAGCTTAGAAAGCAGGTCATTCTAATATGATTGCCATACAAAATGACCAGAAGTCAGTTGAATTACTTTTTTTTTTTTTTTAATTTCCTTCAGGAAAGGTGAGAAGCATTGATACCACATACATGCAGCTTATTCTTGTTTCTTTAAACTTATACTTGAATTTTGAGGGTTTACCAGCTAGCGACTTTTTAAAGAAAATAATAAAGTTGTGATAATGAGAATTGCTATTCTGCAGCATTATGTTCATATTCATTTCTATCTAATCATATGCTTTCTAGGTTTTATTCACAGTGTGAGAATTACGAGGGTATTTGTCATAGCTGTGTATTCTACACACGTCTTGGGTTTGGGTTTGATCACAAATGAAGAATTACAGAAATTTTAGGACAAAATCAAGTAAAATAATCTTGCCTGGGGTGTGAAAAAATGGTCCCGTTTTTCTCATTGCCACTTCATTCTTATTTGATTCTTTGTATAAGTAAGGCAGTGTTCTTCAGTTTTTCACCTTTCCAGCTTAACCATTCCTTGCAAAATGTCATTACACACATAAATGAACAAAACATTACTCAAAAGTATAAACATTTCAGGAAGGCTGAATTTTAAAAACAAGTAAGGGTCTTGTGAGATGCCAGATTGCTGAGATGACAGATTGCACTTCTTTGCTTCCATCTTAGCAATGGAAAACATTTTATTCTATTGCTGAATGGATCCAGATAATCATTCTACATAATGCTGCAAGGAAGCTTTAGGTGATAGTGTATTTTTGATTACTTAAATGTAATCAAATTTCTAATTTAATTTTTGAAAGAAAGTACTTAATTTTCAACAAGGCCTTGGTTCTGAGATCTACTGAATTTAGCAGAGGAGAGTTGCAAAAAAAATGATGTTATGTATGTGGCCTGGTGCATTAAATACTGGTCTTATTTTAAAAAGCTTAGTTTAATGGAATGAATCATTTAGGAAATTCATTGTGAGTTGGCTAGGTGAAGTTCTTATTTAATTAGTGAACCAGTTTTTGCCAGTTTCCTTCACTAATCAATTTAAGATTGTTTTTCAGAGAAGAGCAAGTGATATCCTTTGATCTTAGATGCATGCTAAATGTGCTGGGATGTATCAGCACTGACACGGTGCCTGCAAATAGCCCTAGAAGGAGAGAGCCCCTGCTAGAAATCTGACTTTGTCTATGGTAGGCACGTGTTCAGTAAGAGGGCAAGTTGTGCCTTGCATTTGGTGGATGCTTCTGCCTCTCAGCCTGCTCAGCTGTGCAGACCAATCCATTGAGGTGAAGCCACACTTCACCAACACCTGGCAATTAAACTGGTGAAAAATGATTTGGAAAGCTCTTTTCTGTTGTGACCAGTGATTCTGTTGTGGGGAAGAGATTCTGCTTTATGTTCCTGACTTATGCCAGAGATTCAGTCATGACTATTTCCTCCATCTAATAAAATTGACAAAAACTGGCTATGCCTTGATCTGGGCAGTTGCCCAATATTATAGAGTTCTGTGAATGAAATAATATACTTAGAAGGTATAGCTGCAGTTTTCTTTCCCTACACCTGATTCCAGAGGATTTCATGGCAACAAAGAGTGATTTTCCTTCCAAATTTTCTAAGCTGTTCTGTCAGTCCAATTTTCTGCTTCATGAAGAAATGTTGTCAACTGCTGTTTTCACAAGGAAAGCTCCTTCTGCTCAGCTTACGTATATAAAAGTCAAGGGAATACTAACTGCCCTTCAGAGTCCAGGACTGCTGTGGATAGTGGGTGGCTGTTACATTTTCTTCATCTTCGTAAGACTCAAAGCCATATATTTGCTTAGTGTTTCACTGATTTTAAGACACAAAACATGCAAATAATTTCTGTTTTGTTTTTAACTACATTACTCACTACAAAGTGCATGTTTCTTACAGTTAATGTCATTTATTTTTCTTCCACATCTAAGCTGGATAATGCAGATGAGCAAGCAGCCCAGATCAGACGTGAACTAGATGGACGTCTGCAACTGGCCGAACAAATGGCTAGGGTAAGCATCTGCTTTTGGATACCAGAAACATACCTTCAGAAAGTGAGTGAGATGGTGATGTGAGTGGGCTGATACATAGTTTGTGTTTCCAGTTTCTCATTCTGAAGCTGACCAGAATGCCTGGCAGATGCATTTATTTCTTCTGTGGAGAGTGTATGTCAGTAGGGGTAGGGAGGAAGTAAAAGTTGTTTTCAAAGGTTGTATTCTGTGTAATCCTTCCATTCCTTCATCAGCAAGGCCAGGGGTGAAAGAAAGGGTATATTATCTGCACTTTTGGGAGTATGTATTTTGTAACTGAACTAGATTATATTTTATATACAAAATGCATTGTGCAACCCTGAGGGTATAAACATGTTTATGTCTTACTACATGCTGTATGTAATATAATTTTAAGCATATAAATTATAGTTTACATTTCCAGTGGAAGTCAAAGTTTGGAATGCACTGGAAGTAGCAAAACTATGAGTGAAGCTTGTAGGTCAAATTAGTGATAATAGGGTAATTTATAAATTACTGTAAGTTTTAGAAAGCCAAAATTGTTTTTTTCTGTCATATAGCTTGTATTTTGTTTCAATGAGCAAGATTATGCCCTTCTATCTTAAATACCACAGGTAGGATTGTTACTGTCCCTGGCCATATCCTATTAGAGGCTTTTTCAAAGAAAGACTACCAATTTCAGTTCTCTTCAGTCTTCTGTGAAGCCTTGGATTATAATCAAAGATGTCTGCTAATGCTGTGTTTGTTCTGTGTCCTTTTTGCCTGTAGCTCCAACAGTAAAAAAATATTGTGTGTTATCGCATGTATGTGCAGAAAACAGTATATCGTATTTACACAGTACAATTTTAAAGCCTTCACAGAATCACAGAATTAAAGAATGGCCCAAGCTGGAAGGGATATCAAGGATCTCCAACCCCCCTGCCACAGGCAGGGCCACCAACCTCCCCATTTAATACCAGACCAGGCTGCCCAGGACCCCATCCAACCTGGCCTTGAACACCTCCAGGGACGGGGCATCCACAACCTCTCTGGGCAGCCTGTTCCAGCACCTCACCACTCTCTCTGTAAAGAACTTCCCCAACATCCAACCTAAATCTTTCCTCCCTCAACTTCAAACCATTTCCCCTTGTCCTGCTGTTATCCACTCTTGATTCCCCTCCTGTTTGTAGGCTCCCTTTAGGTACTAAAATGCTGCAATGAGGTCACCCCACAGCCTGCTTTTCTCCAGGCTGAACAAGCCCAGCTCCCTCAGCCTGTCTTCATAAGGGGAAGGTGCTCTAGTCTCCTGATCATCTTTGTGGCCCTCCTCTGGACCCTCTCCAACATCTTCCTGTCTTTCTTGTACTGGGGGCTCCAGACCTGGATGCAGTGCTCCAGATGGGGCCTCACAAGAGCAGAGTAGGGGGACAATCACCTCCCTGTCCCTGCTGGCTACCCCTCTTCTGATGGAGCCCAGGATACCATTTGCTTTCCAAGCTAAGGTTTGCTTGTTTATTTGAAATGAAAAATAAATGGTTATTTAGATCGATAAATTTCACAAATAAGAATCTGGAGACATAAACTTCCTTTGAAATTAAAAAGCATAAAAGAATTGAAATAATTTTAATACAGATGAAAATTATGAGCATGATTTAAGCCATATACATTTTCATATCCTAGCTAATGTACGTACACAGACTGCATACCAGTGGCTTTCAATCAGTAGTTTTCTTTATGGAAAGATTTTGTTTTGAAAATTCTCATGGTTTCTACAATGCCAATTGCACAATTTTGCACAGAATAAGGAACTCCATTCTTACATGGTATATCCAAGTCAGAATTATCACATATCTTTTTAAAAATTACTTAAACTGTATGTATGTGTATATATATATGTTAAAATTATTTTTTGCAGGAGATTCAGAGTTGGTTGTAGCTGCTTGATCCTAATTCTAGCAGCTGTAAGAATTAATAAGATCACCTAAACCTAAGCAGTCAAATGCTGCAAAACAGCTATGACCTTTCTCAAAAATGAGGAAAAAAAAAAAAAAAAAAAAATTGATACTTGATTATGTATTCAAGTGTTTCTGTTGGTGAAAAAAATGGTTTTCAGTGATTACCTGCTTGGAAGAGAATTATTATACTGCAGTTTCAGAAGAGCAGCACAGCTAAAGGAAAATTTCTGCATGCAGTTTTCTCTTTTATTAAGGTCTTGTTCATGGTTCCTGTACAAGATTACTTACTGATTTTAAGATATAAGTTGTTAATTATATGCCATAAGTTTATTTTAGCAGAAAAGATCATTCAACCTACCTAAAAGATGTGAAAACCTCAGAAACAGCATTGATCCTCAGTAGCATAAAATCGACAGGAAATCTATGCATCAATTTGTCTGGCTGTTTCTTCACATGATTAAATTTAATTTACTTGAAATCAAAGTATGTACGATGCAATGGGATTTTCTACCTTTTGTAACTAGTGGAATTCTTCTCTAAGACAAACTTTTACGTGATTCTATGCAGAGGTTATCCAGTGTCTTTTCTGCCTGAGAACTGCATGCTGAAAATCCATGTTAGCGCTCTGTCCAAATACAGACAGACCAATAAGGTTTTTGTGTCCATTGCCTCCCCAAGGTCTTTATTTCAGGATATATTTCTCATACATTCCAACAAAGGACCAGAGAGAGAGACAGATAACAACCAAAAATCACATGCTATTCTTCTTTGGTCTCTAAATTAGTATAAATATTATGTGCTACAGCCATTTGTTACAATTTCACTCTCTTCCAAAAGAAAATTAAAGGTGTGGGGTGATTCATAGCTATCAGTGTCTTTATGGAGGATTCTCACCTGTGTTTTGTCAGAGACAGAAGTAGCTACAAGCATTCAAGTTCTACAGAAATAAAGACATCGGTGTATATTCTGGTGGTGCTGCCTGTCTTCAGTTATTGCAGCTTTAAATTACAAAAGATCATAGTCGTAAAAAAATCTGCAGGAAGATGTGCTGTAAGAAGCTTCCTGAACTTTTACACTGGAGTGGAGAAATAATCTTAAAAAGAGAAAAGATCTTTTAACAAGTTAAGTCTTGTCCTTCTTCTCTGTTGGCATTGTGTTATTTGAATGATCCTCACAGGATAAGGTACAGTTTGATTTTGGTTTTGGGTGGGTTTTTTTTTGTTTGTTTGTTTGTTTTTTGAGAGGGCCACATATAAACAGGAGAGGGTATGTCTGTTTACAAGGGTGGATAGTGATAAGACAAGGGGAAATGGTCTTAAACTGAGACAGAGGAGGTTTAGGTTAGATATTAAGAGGAAGTTTTTCACACAGAGGGTGGTGACACACTGGAACAGATTGCCCAAGGAGGCTGTGGATGCCCCATCCCTGGAGGCATTCAAGGCCAGGCTGGATGTGGCTCTGGGCAGCCTGGTCTGCTGGTTGGTGACCCTGCACAGAGCAGGGGGTTGAAACTAAATAATCATTGTGGTCCTTTTCAACCCAGGCCATTCTGTGATTCCGTGATTCTGTGACTAGAATATGCTGAACCTTACCTTAATTTGTTATGCTCTAACTACCAACTACTCTTTTATCTTTCTTTTTTCCATTTCAATTTTTAAAATACTGACTCTGTAATGTGATAATGAACCAGACTGGGAGATTTGCTGCAGGAGCTTTGGGTCACAGTTTGCTTGCCTGATCTTTGTTATCGAAACAAAATCTACTGTAAAAGTTTTAACGTAAAACGCTTTAAGACATTTCTCCTAACAGCTAATGGTAAAAGTGGGTTTTAAGAGCAAGGTGCTTACCTTGACAGGCAACAACTGGGGAGTGATGTTTGTTTCTCATTTATGTATAAAGCTTATGTTTTAGAATAATACACATTCTTGGGCTCCCACATGCAACCTGGATTTAAGGCTAAAGGATTCTGGAGGGCAAGAGGTTTCTTTTTTACAAATGTCCCATTCTATTTTTGATGTGTTTTGTCTACTGTGTTTGAGGAATATGATGGAAATCTCAATTCAGGTTACATTTCTTCTTGTCAAATTTAATGTGTGTATTAGACATGACTCGCCTTCCCATTACTGTTTTAAAATGATAGAAGTAGTTAAGAATTCAGACTTTTATTTTTATTCAATATCTAAAAATGAGAACAAGTTAGTAAATGAGTATGATCTGGAGTGTGGCATGATTTTTTTCCTCTATAATGTTTAAAATATGTCTTCCAAGGAAAGAAAATTCCCCAAGTTCATAACAAGAGAAATGGAGAACATGTACATAGAAGAGTTACGGTCTTCAGTGAATTTGCTGATGGCAAATTTGGAAAGTCTTCCAGTGTCTAAAGGTGGGCCAGAATTTAAACTGCAGAAGTTAAAGCGATCACAAAATTCTGCATTCTTGGACATTGGAGATGAAAATGAAGTTCAGCTCTCAAAGTCTGATGTGGTCCTCTCCTTCACATTAGAGGTAATCACATATTTCACAGAACATGTGTTGGCAGTTTAAATTACTGGAATATCTAGAATGCCTGTTTTCTTGGTATTTTTTATTGCTGATTCTTGCTAAACATTTTACACTAAAGTGCTAGATTATGAATTGTCTCTGATAATAAGAGTTAGAGTGCAAATGCATGATGCACTTTCCTCTTGCAGCAGTAGCTGCATTTGGTTCCATGCAGCAATGTGGGAAGTTGAATCTCCCACATAACTGTATCTTTAGATGAATTCCACTACATTAGGTACCAAATAACAGAACACTTGTTATCACAACCTCATTCACAGAAGTTTACAAACAAGATGTTTTCTTACTGAAAGCATTTACAGAGAAAACCAAAAGCGTATTTTTGTGTGTGTGTGTGTTGGTCATAGCAGGCTGATGCTTATGAATTTCTTCATTTTCTTCAAGAAACTAGCTCATCTTTACTAAGGTTGTGCTGGAAGTGTGCTCTGCAGAAATGCAATCTCAATCCATATGGAGCTGAAGCCACAAATACAGACAGTTACTTAAATGTAATGATGAGAGCATCATTTATCAGGTCCCGTTCTGAACATGTGAACATCAGGAAATGCTGATCTCTGTTTCTTGATAACAATAGAATCAAAATGTTTTCCAGAGTGCATATTGCATATTTGTCTGACAGAAGATGCCACATTTAAGTGTTATGCATTTGAAATGACTTCAGTTTGTTGAAGACAATGGATAATATTAAGGAATAAGTATTTCAATTATTAAATCATTTAAAGCAAATAAAAAGTAGGTATGTTTCTTAAACATTGTATTTTTACAAACAAATACCTTTTTTTCATGTAAGGTTTAGAATTCAGATCTAATTTTCATTGCCATGTCCAAAAAGACTGAGGTCTTCATTTAAGTACAGAAGATAAATTACTTATCCTGTTGTTTGCCATTTTGATATTACTGACTAATAATGTAGAAGACAAAAGTAAGGTTTTGAAGAGTAGTAACATCTATTCATCGTTCCACACGCCATAAATTATTAGTCGGTCAGGCATGTAAAACAGTCTTAGGGCTGAATGCTGTGCAGCTCCATTGCATGATGTGCCTCTCCCAAGTGGAATGCAGAGCCTGGAGTGATGCCATCAACAGCAATAACATGGAAGCACCTAAAAAGTACCTGAAAAAGCTTTTCAATAATATATATGTATTTTAATCTTCAAGCAAGTTTACTTGGTAAGGGTTATAGAAAGAAGAAGAGCTTTCTGTGGACTTTTAGATAGAAGTATTAAGTAAAAGTGATGTGATATTTGTAAAGAAAACACCAAAGGATAGAAACAATCCTAAAATGAAAAACGACAGTATATGTAATTTCCAATGAACTCGTTACTTGTAGCAGCGTGGGTTTCTTCTGCACACCAGAAATGCAGACTGTTGGGTTTGCTGAACTCCAGGTTTTTTTGGCTGTTTCTTCAATACACCAAGGTTCTCAAGGGTTAGTGACCTCCAGTTCACTGTGGGCAAGGCAGCAAAGAATTAGTATCATTCCACAGATAGCAGTTTTCAATAGGGGAAATTTTTGTTTTAAGCATGTTGTTAACCACGTAAGTCAAGTTTCTTGCCTGCAAAGTATGTGCAAATGTCTTATTCTTGGGAAGACAAATCTAACAGGTAATAAGGGTGCAAAGAAAGAGCTGAGCTGATATCCATTTAGGCTGAAACATGGGAGATCTGCTCTCTTTTACGCAAATCAAAATGGGCAAACAACAAAACTTGACTGCATTTCCTTGGAGACAGAAGACATTATTTCTGGGGGAAAAAAAAAAAAAAAAAAAGGATACATGCATAATTTTGTACTTCAGTAAGTAAAGTAATCAGCCAAATCCCCACTGAAAGCTGCAGCACAGCTACATAAATGAAGAGGAAATAAATAATGTGAGAACATTAGTACAAAACCACACTTACATGTCAGTAGACAGCAGGACTGTGTGGAGTGTTCATCTGCCCCTGCATTGCACTGTTAAGACAGAGCAGCAGAACATTTAAGCAACATTTATATGTGCTTGTGGGGATGGAGCTTGTGCTCAAAGGTAAAAGACACTATTCCTGCCAGTTGGGTATTTCATCAAAGAGCTTATCTGCAGAAATTCGTATCATAAATAAAATATCAGAAGATTTAATTGCCTGTGTTCTTCAGCTGTTGGACAGTTTAAGGAATACATAAGCAAAATTTAGAAAGCTATTCATCAGCTAATGAGCTAGTTAATCAGCTAATGACAGGTCCCTTTCTAATGAAATGCAGGGTTCTCTTCCATTCCTAGAATCCAGAAGCGCTAGCAAAGACAAATGTGCTGTGCAATTAAACTTAAGGAAAATAAGGATCAACATAAAAAAATGAACAAATGTGAAGTCTGCATTCAACAAGGATAAATGTTTGACATGTGGAAGGACCGTAGAGGCAGCAGTAGCCAGAGGGATCTCTAGTGCAGTCTGGCAGTGATCATTGATCACTTGTGTAACTGTTTGAATTCCTGAACCACTAAAGATGGAGAAGAACAGAGATAATTACATCATTGTCCCCGAACTGCTGTTATTATTTATGAAGCATAATAGGCAGTGGTGATGATTTATGGGTAATGTAAGAATGTTCTAAATGATCGGTCTGTCACCTCACAGCAATTTTGCCAGGTATCTAACAATTACTAAGATTTGGGGACTTTTAAAGCACAAAGGATTCTACAGCAGAGAGTGAAATCTGCCTTGGCTCACCTTAATTGAGATGAAGTGAACTGACAAATTGCAAATGGTTTGATAGTCAGACATTTTAGTAGTTGCTTGCTGACCTAGGAAATCAATTGCTTCTACTGAGACCAAAAGTAGTCATCACTTTTGTCACCTTTAAGGTGTTTGTTTGTTTTGTTTTTGATTTTGTATATAGTTCAGCTGAGGACAGCTTCTCTGCTGATTAAATGGACAAAGTTTTTTGCAGTTCTGTTGGCTCAGATGGGCCTGAAAAGAAAAGCAGCTTTTCTAAAGCAAGCAGGGAAATGCAAGCATTTTCAGATTTTCTCTGAACTGGAAACATCTGAAGTGTAAGAATTTCAATAGCTTCACACTGTAACAGACTGTAAGGTTTTTAAAAGACACAGAGCAGTTGAAGTTAGACTGTATTTGGCTCTTCTGGGTAGTTCAGAGGAGCTGAAAAACTATGGGGTTTCCTATGCCAAGAATGTCCCTGGTGAGGAAATTTCTCATCTGGTATTGGTGGCTTTTCTCCCATCTCCTCCCCTTGCGTCCCCATATGCACACTGCACCTGAGTGCAGGTAGTGAGTTGGGAGGAAAAGGGGTAGTGGGAAAAAAATACAGCAGCTGAGAGTGATGCTCTCTGCCGTAACAGAGGTGAGATTCAAGGGAGCACAATTTCTCTCAAATTCAGTGCTAGCACTGAAGTTATAGTAGGGGTGAGTTTTTGCCCAAGTAAAAGTGGAACAAAAATCTCCCTTCATAGTGTATGTTGCTGAAAGTGGAAAAAGAAAGGCAACAGTAAAACTTTTCTCTGTCTCTGAAGAATTCAGACAGTGGGTTGTGGGTGGGGTTTTTTTGCTTTTGTTTTGTTTGGGTTTTTTTTCTGTGTGGAGCTTACTATCACTATAGCCATGTTGTGTAATGCTTTCTGAAGTGTGAAGCATGAACTATTTGCTTTCTTTTCTTCAGATTGTTATCATGGAAGTGCAAGGTTTGAAGTCAGTCGCCCCCAATCGGATTGTCTATTGCACCATGGAAGTGGAGGGGGGTGAAAAGCTTCAGACAGACCAAGCAGAAGCTTCCAGGCCACAGTAAGCTGCTCTGCTTCGCTGCATACAACATCTATTTCCTTCATATCATGGCAGAAACTATAGCTTGTATGGTTTTTACAATTTAAGTTAGCACTGGTTTATTCTAGTGCTGTGTTTATTTTGTGTTATTACCTTAAATTCTTTCTCAAAAATTCTAATATTCATATTATTTATTTATGGTGAGGTAAATACGAAGTCCAGAAAATGACATTGAATGTATGTGTGAGGGAGTTGGAGACTAAAGTCTGGAAATACAAACCTCTTGAAAGACGTTAGCCCAGGGTGATCTTATGTATTCTAGGTTAACGTGGCGGAGGCTCTGTGGAGTATAACTTGTGCCATTGGTGGAAAATCAATACTCAGTAATCAGTCTTGACAAAGCTTACTCACCTGCTGAGCCTATTTCATTTTAAATTATAGGATCCACTTCTTCCAATTAATTTTTGAGGGAGGCAGTCAGCAAACTGACTTGCAGGGGAAAGCATCATGCCATCTGTAGCTGAGTGGCGTAGAGGAAGAAAATTAGGTGTGTTTTTTTTGTTGATTTGTTTGACCTACACACTGACTTCAGACACTTTTCTCTCTGTTAAAATGTCATTTGGAATCTTTTGTAGATACCTTTCCAGACAGTGAGCTGGGGTTTTACTGGCACCATAGTGTGCCTTGCGAAAATCAATTTAAAAATTGCAGTTGTTACAGTATCTGAGTAAACATCATCAAGTGAGCTGGGATGGTAGCTTCTGTTCGATTCGCACCACAGATACAGACCTCTGACAGGCAAAATTATAAGCACAGAGTATATGCCTCTTCTGGGGTTTGGGGAGGAGGAGATCTTATTCGGTAGACCTTCTCCTAGCTGTACTGTCAGAGGAAATGTTCCTGACAAACAAGCCAGCAGCCTGCTATAGTAGCATATTCAGATGAGCTTTGCAGAACTCAAGGACATGAGGTAATATGTAAAATTCTGTTGACTCTTTCTCTGCCGTGTGCTCCTTCTCCAGGGTTTGGGCTTTGCATTTAGTGTGGTAAGTGAGGAACATCTAAAAACAGTGATTATATAAGATACATACAGGTATATGTCAGAAGCAAGGCCACGAGTAAGAATACAACATTCTCTGCTCATCTGATGACCTGTTGGAGTGTTTTCTGGTGGCTCTTGTTCCCATGTGAGTTGCAGGGCTTTGTCACGGAGGGCACACTTCCAAGCTATGCATGTCTTCTGTCACAGTGAAGGTTCTCTTTTCTTCTGAAAGTTTTCTTCTTTTTATTCTCATGAACTTGCCCATTTCTACTTTTAAAAGCTTTGTTAACCTCTGGTGTCATTGATATGGGTCTTCAGATTTCCCTAAATCAGCAAAAATACACTGATCCATGAATCTTAGGCAAGGCCATTCTCTTTTCAGAAAACGGTTCATAGGTGTTGTTTGTATTTGTTTCTGTGTACAGCAGACAAAACATGTTCAAGGATGGTTCATGATCAATTCCTTGTTGACTTACATACTAAAGGCTGCAGGTAAAGGTGAAGATTATAAAGCCAATCAGAAGGTATATTCTGCATATTGATACATTCCCTAAAAGTTAATAATAAATGAGTCAAAGTGGAAATTGTGAAAAGGATGTTCTGGAGTAGATGGAGTCAGTATGAAAACAGCTATAGCATTTATGTGAAAAGTGGTAGGGTTGGGACCTGATCTGAGCTTGTAAACTGATTTAGAGGATTTCAGGCTCAATACAGAATTGGGCAGAAAGACTGGCCATAGGCTATTCCATATAAGGGTTGCTGTGTGTATAAATTTCATATGGACTTGTATGGGAAAAAAAAAAAAAAAGCATTCTTAGGAAGTAGAGGACTGTGAGATGCCCTGAACTGTTCAGAACTGTAAGAATGTGGGTGAGATTTACTGATGCTGTTGTTCTGCTATCCTACAAAGCTGTGTCATTTAAAAGGGTGCAGCTGATAGAACTCCAACATGTATCTGGTTCTTGTGCTGAGTCATAGTGTTTTCCATTATGCTGATGAGACTGGCAAACAGTAGGCCTAAGAGTATAGAGGCAGATGTAGTTTTTGAGCTTATACAGAGATGTAGTTTGATGCAACAGAGGAGGATATTGAATTAGACAAGCATGAAATTAGCAAATTATGGGCAAACAGTAAAGAAGATGGAGGAAGCTGCCTATGGAATTGGAGGTCTTTTATTCCATGGTTTCATCTTTCTGTTACAGCCAAATCAGGCTACCTTGGCAGTAGCTGTATTGCTCTTTTGGTTGGTGGCAAAAGGGAACTAAAAGGCTTGGCAGAGATTTATCAGGAAATTTTACAGGTGAGAGAGAGCCTAGAAAGTGTTATTATAGGTAGGGAGGGGCCCTCAGTTTTTTGGAGGACTGTAAGGTGTCTTTTCTTTCTCTCTCCTATTGCAGCCTGTTTTCAGTTCTTCTAAGACCTTTCTTCCCACTGTGTCCAACACACCCTTCATCTCAAGCAGTTGTCTGACTACTTTTATCTCCCCACACTCAGGACGATTTCTTGATAGGGATCTGCTGAAGGAGGAAGGGATGGATGAAGGTTTGGATGTTCTGCAAAGTGAAGGTGCTGGAAGAGGTGGAAACAAAAGTGACATTCTGCTTCTATTGACATTAGTTTTGGCACTGCTGCTACTTGCTTTTCCCCTCAGCCCCTTGGCAGCAGGAGGGAAAGCTGCATGAGTAGCAGCCCATGAACAGACAGACCGTCCCGCTTCTCATACAGGAGAACCAAGCTATCTGTGCCCCAGGGCATGCCCACTTCACCTGCTGCTGGGGCTGATTGCTTACTGGGATAATTTCCAGTACCACCGTTCAGATATAAAGGAAAATAATCAGTGAGGCTGAAGGAGAAAACACAAAATTCATTGTGAGAAGAAGCTGAGAATCGAGAAGAGCTGAATTTCATCGTGGCTCTTCAAATCACTAACAGTAACACATTTACACTGACAAACCCCAGATAAATGAGAACATAACTTCATATTTTATATAGAATGTGCAGCTAGAAAAGGGTAGCAAAGCTCCTCTACTACGAGTAGATTAAGCAGTGATGGAAAATGAATTTTTCACTAGCCGAGGAGACTGCTGGCAAGAGCTCCAAATCATGCACTTGTCACAGGCATTTTCTGGAGTTGCATTAAAGCTGGTGGATACATTTGTGAAGAGAAGCAGTGAGAGCAGCCTTTATATCTCTTTTCTTTTTTTTTCGTCTGTGAAGCATCAGTGTACAAAGTGCAGTGCTAGTTCTCAGTGAAAAGCAGAAGACTGGGAATTCAAATGAGTGGTTCAAAATGGAGTGCAAACCAAGTGACCTTAGTGTGCAGATTAATAGAGGCATGATTCAATTGGAGCCTGATTTCAGGATTTATTTACTTCCAAAATGCTGAATATTTCACTTCATGGCTTTTTAGATATGTATTTAATTATCCTTCTGAATCCTTGAATGTTTCCATGAGAGTAAGAAGGAAATTAGAAAAAAAATATTTGTCATTGAAGTGAAAAGGTCCAAGAAGAGTCCTAGAGAATAAAAAATCAGTTTGTCAGTAAGAATTTTTTTTCTGGTTTCTTAGTGCTTTTAACCCCTGCCTGATTTTTTTCTCTGATATTTTCTCTTTTTTTTCTCTCTATTTTTCTCTTATTTATTTAAGTTTGTATTGAAGTGCTCCATCTTTATCAAGCTGAATGAAGCTGCTTCTGTGTGTGCTATGGAGCAGTTAATGATTGTTCTCATGCAAATGCTATAAAATAATATAATTTGACTGAGCTTAAGTCTTGGACAGTTACACAAACAGATCAGTTGCACAGCTTCCAATTCCTGTGAAATATTCTTCATTCCTTCCAACTGTTTCTAGCCTTTTAGCCCTGCTGAAAATCCCTCCAACAAAGTCTGTGACCTTTTCTGGCAGACATCAGTAACAGAGCCTTCAGAGGACCCCCTTCAGCTCCAGGACTCTCTGCCTCATTTTGTTGCAGTGACTCCACAGGGGGTGTCTTGTAAAATCCAGCACTAATTTCATTCTTCAAATGTTAGTGATGTGGCTGTTTTCAGTCGTGTGGAGTCTGGAGTCCTCATGTTTTCTTATCATTGATTTTACTCATTCTGAATATTAAATAGGGTCATTTCTTGGAAATGTTATCTCCTGGATATGGACAATCATGCCTAAAAATAAAAGTTGGGAATATGTTGTTTTTATTGCTAAAGTTGCTAATCTGTTGTCAGATGTTTATGAAGAAGGAAAAGATCCTGCTTGACATGATGAGAAAATTTTGATGCAGCAAGCATCGTGTAAATAGGACAAACAAGATGATAATTTCTGACTGTATAACCTTGTAAAAATGGCTGCTATATTAGAAATATGTGAAGAATGTGTGATTAAGTGTCTGACCAGTGGAGGCGGGGAACCTCAGTCAAGACTGCACGAGTAAAATAAATGCTGCTCACCTTCTTTTTATGCAGTATTGTACCAACATTAATTCCATAAAGTATTTGAAGTGTGACAATACTTGCAGACATATAATCAAAGATTATTTAGTATGATTTTATAGAACGGTGTTGTTTGTTGTTTTTTTTTTTTAAGAGGAAAAATAAAAGCTTAATTTCCAAGACTTGGAACTACCTGAAATGACATGATCACTCTTAAAAAAAACATGAATCTTTTTAATGTAATTTGTTGGTGATATTTTCATGAGTTGACCTAAGATGTCCCTATGGGGACAGGCTGAATTTTGGGTCTCTTCAGCCCGGAGAAGAGAAGGGTCTGGGAAAACCTTATAGTGGCCTTCCAATACCTTCAGGGGCCTACAGGAAAGCTGGGGAGGGGCTTCGTGTAAGGGGATGTAGCAGCAGGATGGGGGGAAATGGTTTTAAACTGGAAGAGAGTAGATTTAGCTTTGATATTAGGAAAAAATTGTTTAGTGTGAGAGTGATGAGACACTGGAACAGGTTGCCCAGAGAGGCTGTGGATGCCCCTTCCCTAGAA